CATTTAGGAGGGGACTGGGAGACACACTGACCGAGAAGACATTTCATTTTCTTCCTTACAACTGCACTCCAGGTGTCTTGCCACCTGAGCTTAGAATGCCCGGGCACCTTCCTGGCTGCAAGGACCTTCGTGAAGGCATAGCCAGCTGGAGCCTCACAGCAGCAAAGCGAAGGGAAGAGGGGCATGCACAATGCAAGGGAAGCGAGAGTACAAAATGGGGCCACAGAGAGCCCGGCCAGGCACCCCCTCATTCCAGCAAACGCCACAGGGCAGAGGGGCTGGTGCAGGTCTCCAGGGCACTGCTGTGGGCAGTGGCAAGCCCTCCTGGCAGGGCAGGACTGGAACGATTTACCACCCCACCTGCTCTGCCACCTGATGCGGTTCCCCAGTTTGCCTCATGCCACGGCCAGCCCCTGGGTGAACATGCCATGTCAGAGCCAGCTGAGTTTCTCTGAATTCTTCCTCGAAGCTCAGTTCATCTCATTCGCATTCCCAAACATGAGCCTCTTCTTTTTCTGATCGAGAAACTTGGGCATTTTTGATTGGTGAGAATGAGCTTTTCCAAGTGCGTCTTTTTTCCCCCAGTCAAAAATGTGCTTTTCCGTCATTCAGTATTGTGTGGAAAATGCATATTTTATTGAAAAGTTGCATTTCTGAGCAAGCACTCAGGTTGGGAAATTTTCTCTGGAAACACATGCAGGTTCACCTTTGGGGTCAAGGAAGGACTTGCCTGAAAGTTTTGAAAACAGAAACATAATTTCCTTCCATCCCTATAATTGATGACTAGGGGCAACTCCCAATTCAGATCCAGAAATTATCTTCTTTGCCATCCTAGATTCTCCTGCCATCCTATGGTAAAGAATCTACTCAGTGAAGGTAAACTAAACCACACTCCAGTGCAGGACTCTGGAGACCTGATGCATATTTACATGTCTATGTGCCTTGCCCGATTTAAACCCCACAGAGTTTACTTCAGGGGGTATGGACCCTAAGGCCCTTCCATTATTGTTGTACTACAACATTGATCATCCCCCACCACTTGCCATGCTCCTTGGAGTTGATGGGAGGGAGTCCAACAGCATCTGGAATGCCACAGATTCCCCACACCTGGCTTGCAGAGGGTTCAACCGCCTCTTCCAAGTTGGCACTCTTCAAATACGTGCCTGCCCACCCCTTAAGATCCAGGGCAGATGCCCTTCTCCTTGAAGGAGATTAGGAGGGTGACTACCCAGAGAAGGGCCTTTTCTGTGGTGCTGCCCCAATTGTGGAATTCGCTCCCCAGAGAGGTACACCTGGTGTCATCATTTTATTCTTTTCGGCGCCAGGCTAAAACCTTTTTATTTTCCCAATGTTTCAAGATCTGATTGTTTTAATTGGGGTTTTATTACCAGTTGAATTTTTAGGACACTGTTTTATTTTACATTTTGTATTGTTAAATTGTCCTGAGAGTTTGGTAAGGGACAGTCCAGAAAAGTTTTAAACAAACAAATAAATAAACAAAACATACAAGGTTAGATGAGTTAGGGAGAACCTGGTGGCTGCCTGTCTGGGGAAGGTAGACTGAATAGGATGCATGTTTCCATTTATCCCTGGATTTGGACAGGAATGGATATCCTCACCCACAGTTTGGGTACCCTGGACAGCAGTGCCCCATCATGCATTGCTGCCTCTGGACAGAAGCCCATCCCTGAAGCATTGCAAGAAAAATACTGGTCACTGAATGATGCTTCCTCTGAGAATGATTTAACTGCAGCACATGCACATGGTACTTCCTGGGAGGAGGACACATCAAGAAAAGGCCAGTGATTTCACAATATAAACAATATACTCTTCTTTAAAATGCTGCCACTGAGGTTGCTATAACTACCACTATTACTACTACTATTAACTACACACTATAGGAATGCCCTGAATTTCTTTCCTAGAATTTGTAAAGGCTCCATAAGAAAATAGTAGGCAATTAATTAAAGTGCATGGTCTCTCCTACAAACCTCTTGCCAACCTTAGATTAGGATGCCCGCCCAACACCTCCCCCCACATGTAACTGGCTGCCCATACTAGAAGTCTGGAGCATGTGGGGAGCTCTGCTGGCCAGAATGGCCTCCACATCCGTTTCAACAGAGGGGGCTGATCTTGAGTGCACATGCCTTTATGCAGGCAACTGGCTTCCTCTACGCAAGGGTCGGAACCTGTAGCATCTGGGAGTTGCCAGGCTGCAGCTCCCATTAGCCCCAGCCACCGTGACAACCTTCATAAAGCACCCCTTCTCTATGGTGGTGAATTGAGCCCTCTGTGTAGGCCAGAGACTTATGAGAGCACGTATGAGGAGCTTGAATCAGGCAGAAGGATAATCCCAAGCCATTGAGAACACTGGAAATTTTATTATCTGCCTAACTGGGCGTGTATGTGAGCTAAAGTCCTGCCCAATGGGCTTTTCAGATGCTGCAATCTCCAAAAATCCATCATACCCTTCTAAAGATGGGTGTTTATTTTTATTTTTGCCCTTAACAGACCCCACTGGCTTGAGTTGGGGCTGTTCCATGAACAACCGTAAGCGAGTGGCTGAATCTTCACTGGACTTCTGCATAGTTCATTTGTGGGGTCACTTCAAACTGGGATCAATTTTTGCTCCCAGACTGGGAAAATGACCCTTATTCAGCCTCAATTCTCAACTTGGAAAAGGAGGCTGAAATGCACTCACTGTGGTATGTCCTGCCTCCTTCCAAAGTGCAAGGTGGCTTACAAACAGTTTCTCTCATCTCTCATCCAGATGGTGTCCAGAGCTAGAGGTGCTTAGCTTCAGCAGCAGAACTGCATCATAGGCACTCAGGTCAAGCCCTGAGCCTCCCAAACCCCCCCCCCCATCTCCCTTAACTAGCATAGTGAAGATGAATGAGAAACATCTTAGAAGCCAGTGTTGCCCAATGCATAGGTTTCTTTCCTTACCTTTTTTTGTATGTTGTAAGGCATCCATCTCCTAACACACCTATGGCGACTGTTGCTTTAACACCTCCAAGTCACAGCCAGTCTAAGACATTCAGGTCAATGCAGCATCCTTCCTTCATTCCATGTACAGAAGGTGACCACACTGTCAACTGATGACGGGACAACATCCTCCACTGGCCCAAGGGCAGCAGGCTGGCTTAGGGCCTGCAAGCACTGTCCTCCATCAGCCTGTCTCCCCTCTGAATCCACCACTTGAAGCAGCTACCTCTCTCTGGCTGAAGGTACGGTTCAAACAGACATCACGAAGCAGTTGGGTTCAGACTGTATGATACCCCACATTCAGGTGAGTTGCCATTGAACCATGGGTTGTTGTTGTTGACTGTGGATGCAATAACAAACCATGATGAACAACCCATAGCGATCACCACTGCTGCTGTGCCTTGCACTGGGTATTTAATCTGGGCAGCTGCTCTTGGCCACATAGATAAAGTGCTGTGGAGAGGAGGAGGCTGAGGTGATCACAGGAACTGGCAAAGGCCATGTCCCCAGCCTCCTCCCTGCTGGGACGCCCCCCTTTCCCTCTCCAAGGCCCAGCTGCAAGCATAGCACAGTGGTAGATGCATTTCTTTCTGTAGCAGCTGCAACAGAAGTAGGGCAGGGACTCCAAACCAGGACTCCAAAGAAAGCCATGGCCACAACAGGGCTGGCTGGGGTGTGCTGGGAATTGCAGGACTTTGCCCTGTGCAAACATATGCAGGGTTGAACTCTTAATGGTCCAGGATGGTCCCTCAGTCTGTCATCGAAGGGAGCAGGGGGGGCATGGCCCCTTGAGAGGCGGGAAATTCTTTGGCGGGAATGAACAAGAATTCGGAGCAGAAGATTCCTCTCCAGCTACAAGAAAAGGGGCGAATATAGGACTTTGTGTGAGAAATTGCCATCTCTGAAAATGCAAAGACAGAGAGCAAATGAGAGAGAGAGGAGGGCCGGGAAGACCAATCTGAGAGCATCTGGCCAGAGTTAGTTACCTGGCCTAATGGGGTTGCTTGTGCGGGCCTCACCTGCCTTGCAGGACTGCTCGTTTGCCTCCACATGTTCCCTGTGTACGGACTCACAATTCCTTAAGTCGCCGCTGGTTTCACATCCAAAAGGAACTGAGCTGAGTGGTAGTGGTGGCCCCAGGCCATCTGCAGTGCAATTCAATTAACAAACAACTAGGCCCACAGAGAGGCAGCATTTAGGGGCAGGGTGTCTCCCGCTTGACCGTGCTGTGCCCACATGCCATAAGGCAATTGGAGTCCTCTGTGTAACAGCAGCGTATCAGGGGAGGGAGTGGACCGCTGCAGTAATGTGACCGGAGGCCTCTGCTCCCACATGCTTTCTTCCTGAATTGGAGCTGTTAAAGCAACAGAAACAGCCTTCCAGCTGGGACTCCACAGACTTGGTCAGCAAAGGAATAGGAAGCAAGGATAAGGTAGACTACAAGACATTTCTCAACATTAAAAGTGCTATAAAGTAGTGAGTTGGGCAGATTAAAGATGCAATCTTTAATCTGCAAATTTACTTGGAATTAAGCCCCACTGAACCCAGCGGGGCTTCTTTCTCAGTAAACATGCATAGGATCTGGCTGTTTAAGTGATCGACAAGTGATGAACAGAGAATGAGAAATCCCCATTCGCACATTCTTATCAATCTCTTTAGTGGAGCCAGTAACAGCAGGGAGGTCTCCTCCCTTTCCAATCTTTGAAATTTAACAGTATGACAAACAAGGCCCTTTTGGACTGATCCTGCTTCCCGAAACTGAATTTGGGCAGCATTCCAGCAACACTATGTACCCGCATTAGAATACATTTTCTACCTGTCCACATTCTCTCTTTCTTCAAACAGGCTCAATGTAAGACCCCCGAGCAAGATCATGACAAGGAATGAAATATAACATTTGCCAGTTTTCTAAGAAATGACAGACATATTGTCCTCCGATTTCTTTTTTGACTGGCCCTAGTTTCTAAGCACTACAGAAATAATAAATTTACCATCCTGATTATTTACCAAGGTGTGCAGCTCCCAAAGGCGACCGCTTTTGACAGCAAAGATCATAAATGGACAAGTGCAAGATAAGAAACGTACCTCGTATAAAAACCCTGAATCATACAGCATTAAATCATAATTGGAAATAACAGTAAAACAACCAAAAACCCCCCACAATATAAACCATCACCAAAAAATCCAAGTGTTTTCTTGTGGCTTCATGAGCCAGTGAGAGATTGCAGTAGTTCTAGAAATAAATGAAGATCAAAAGCAGGTATTATTATAATTTTTGTAAAAGATTGCAACCTTAGATTATCTGCAAATTGCATAAATGTGTTGTGCCACATAATCATATCAAAGTTATCTGCAAACATTATACAAACTGGAATGCTTTAATATGAGACACAACATAGTACATACATTTATACGAAAAATGAGAACGATCATATAAAAATATAATCAGGGGTGCATTAAGTTAGCAGTGCTATCAAGGATGGGGAAGAAGGAAATTGAAAAATCATTGCTTTTGTTTCCGTAAGTTGCAGAATTTGTCTCAGCACATTCCGAGGCATCAATTTGCTTCAATTCTTGCCAGCATTGTTCATCCAATTCAAGGCCTTTGAGAGCAATCCATTAGATTTTATGATATTTAATAAATGCATGCCAGTGTTGAGGCAATGTGGGGGTATTCGGGATAATTATACTTGATTCAATGTACTTACCACAACCCTACACGCTGTATGATAATTAAATAGAAATAAAGTGATGTCTAAAGGCATGTTTTCATTTATTTGGAATGTAAACTTTTTAGGGGCAGGGGAGGGGCCCTAGTTCCTTTTGTCCCAGATTGCACTGATAACACTGTTGGCACTCAATGATCAAAGCAAAGAAACAGACAGACAGACAGACAGTTTCCTTTGCCCAGTTCCCACATATTCCATGTAACCATCGCCTTGTTAAGTGATGTTCCCTGGAATTTGCAGGCCCTTTTCTCCCTCTTCCCTGCCCTTTTATCTTCTGCTGACGCTTCTCCTTTCACAGTTTTAAGCCCCTCTTATTTGGGATGTGTTGCCATTTTGTTTGAGCTTAAACTAGTTGCATTTGATAAAGCTATACTTCTTTCTGCTTTCGGTAATGCCGGCACCTCGTACTCCCAAGGACAGATTTCCATACGAGAAGTTAAAGGTTTCTGTGAGTTACTAGTTGATGACCCCAGAGAATCAGAGGGAAGCACATTCCCCGCTGGAGTGGAAGCTGCATGTTTGGTCTGGTCTCCCAGTTTATTGAGAACATCTTTCTCTGCGGTCTGTGCTGTGGCCTTTTGAGGCAGTTCCTTGGGTTCTCCAGCACAAACATTGGCTTCAGAGTGTTTATTAATAGATTCTCCTTTTATCCCAGGAGCTTCCTGGGGAACTTTGGGACTCAGATGCTTTTTCTGGTCTTCTTCCACCTGTCCTGGGCTCTCCCATGGGCACACTTCACATCTATCTATGCTCTTTTGATTGAGGAGCTGATGTTCTTCAGTAGTCTTGTGAGGGGTTTTGCCCTTTGTCTGGGTTGTCTCCAGTTCGGAAGAAGCAATAGAGACATGCTTTTGAACTTTACAATCAGAACTCCCAGTCCCAGGGCTATGGTCATAGATTTCCCAAGGACACACTTCTCCTATATCGACACTGTTCTTTGGCAGTGACTTATTTACTCCCGTATCGGGATTTCCAGATGACTGACTAGACCTTTGTTGTTTCATTATCCCAGATTTATGGGGCTTCCTTGACTCTTCATTGTGGGAAGAGTTCTTTCGGTGTGAATCTTTCTGGTCATTTTTCTCAGCGGCCGAGTGCTTTTTGTTCACCTCTTTGCCCTTTGCTTGAGACTTGTGCAATTTGCCACTCTCTTCGCTTTGCATCTTCCCTGCCAACCCCAGTGTTTTCTCCTTGGCACTGGCAATAACACTGAGTGACTTCTGTAAAACTGAGGTTCTTGGGTGGAGCGGTTTCTTATCGGCACTTAAATTGTGAGCGCTCACTGATTTACACACCAAGGGGACATTTTCTGTGGAAGTGACTTCATCTTTTTCCACAGCTTTTTTGGTCAGTTTTTTCCCTGGGAGAGACTCTAGCAAGGAATTCTCTGTGGCTGTTATGACTTCCACACTTTCTGTAGTTAAGCTTTTGGACTCTTCTGTTGGGTCTCGAACATGGTCATAAGTGCTATGAGATTTTTTTAATGAGAAGACTCTGTTCCTCAAAGAGTCTTCCTTCATTTTGGCATGACCACTAGAATCGGGTGGGTTTTTCTTTGTCACAGGGGTGTTCTTTGAGACCCCATGTTCCAGAAGGTCCTTCTCCTCTCGAGAGCACTGCCTGGTGACTGTCTCGGGGATCTCCGTAATCCTTCGCATGATTGACCGACCCAAGCCCTTTTTGGAGCACCTTTTTTTCTGAAGGTGCGGATTGTTGCTGATCATTTTTTTCCTCTTATAGATCTCTAGCTGGGCATACAGCTTCTTCAATTCATCCTGCAAAGTAAAAGGCAAATCAACTCAGGCCTGTAAATATTTGGTCAAAGGCAGTGTGGTATAGTGACTAAAGCTTTGGGTTCAGATGTGGAAAACGCAAATTCAGCCTCACTAAGCTATGAAGTCTAAGAGTGGCCTTGAGCAAATAAAAACAACACTGGATGAACAATTATTTCCTTGATTCTTCCTCCTGTTTTACTTTCCCCCCAGTTAAATAAAGCCTCTGGAGGGTGAAATTAGGACTTGAATGTCCAAGCAATGGTTCAGTTAGGCTATTTTAGACTCTGGTCTTAATAGACTTATGGAAGTTCTGTTTCTTCAGCTGACTGTGTGCTTTACTTCTTTACTTAAATCACAGAGGCTGACAGAAGAAACACACATGACCTGGGCTGAAACCTGACTGGAGCTACAGCTGCACACATACCCAATCAGACTGAATTGAATACAGCATCTCTTCCAACAGAATCCAGCCTTCCACTTCCAATTCCTTATTCCTGAACAGACTATCAGCAGAATTGCACACAACCCAAAAAACTGTGTGCCCTCATTTGAACATACATTTCCTATTGAACTGGGGCACCAATGAAACAACACCACATTCTCAGCAGCACACACAAGGGATGCTACATGCACATAAGAAATGATTTCATAAAGTTTAGCATGATGTGTTGGCTATCTTCGGACAACATGACGCATCTGCCCACTTCCACCATGACTTATCAGGTTGTCTGAACCCAGCCATTGGCAGTGAGGGCAACATCTGTGATACCAACCTAAACACAGAAACATAGAAAGTCAAAAGGGGCCTCCTGGGCCATGTGGTCTGACCCCTGGATCCAGCTGGCTCCGCTCATGACATGCCTACTATATGCATGGCAAGGGTAATGCAGGGTTCTGTGGGGGTGGGGGACCTGGCTCCCCGCTTTCATTTCCTCGAGCTCCTCCAACTTCTCCCTCTCACTAAAGTCCTTCCTCAAAAATTATTGGCCTATCTGGCTTCTCCAGTCCTGGACAGCCTGCTCCATTCTGCTATTTCGATTTGCCATGTCCATCTCCAGCCAGCACAGTCAATGTTCAGGTGTGATGGAGATGTCATACGAAACCTCTGGAAGGCACCTGTCTGGGGAAAGCTGTTCTAGGTGTTCTCCAGTGACTGCTGTCCAGCAATAGACCAAACTGTTGCCACTTATGTTGGACTGGTCTCCTACACAGTGGTTAGGGCTGAGCTGGCCAGCACTTTTTTTAAACGGAAAATGTTCCAGGTTTTAAAAAAGCAAACGAACAAAACATCCAATTTGCAAAGGTGGTACATACCCTGATATCTTCTGGGTCCAAACTATGTTCACTCCAAGCTGAATTGATACTGCTGTTCAGGTAGGATCCAGATCTCCCCATATCGAGCTCATCCTCATAGGCTTCAGTAGCTATATCATCTCGTGGATTATTGCTTGAGCGGGAAAACTGGAAGTGTACATTAGAGTTTGACATGAATGTCTTGGTTTGTAAGCCCAAGGAACATGGAAGAACTGGCACCTGCAGTTTACTAAACTTTACTTTTAAAAACTGAGGGTAGATCCTGATTTTGGTGTTAAGCTGGAGGAAGCACACCCTCGTCTTCCCCATAGCAGCCCCTCCAGCCATCTGACAGCACTACCCATTTGCAGGGAACCCTACTGAATGCAATACCCTGTGGAATAAGGGGGAAATGGCAGATGGAGGCACCACCTGTGAGAGGAGCCCTTTGGTTGACAGTAGGCAGATGCTAGATCCAAACCTTGGACGGAAAAGCTGGCTTACATTTGGTGGGTGTCATGCAAGACTATAGCTGCTAGGGAGCCCCATGTGAGTCAGTCCTGTGGGGATTTTTCAGTCTTTTCCTCTGAATACTCATCTTCCTTTTAACAGAGAGGGAGGGGGTATAATCTGCATCTACCCCTTTCTGTACATAGAAACAAGGGGAAATGCACAGACATTATTCTATCCAAACATTCAGTAAGAAGTAAACTTTCTCCAGGCTGCTAGGAGGCTTACCTATTTTAATTTTTTAAATCAAAATTCAAAGTTAACTCATTACAGGCATTAATAAATAATTAATCAACAACTCCATCTTTTGAATGTTTACTTGGAAGTAAATCTAGCTGATGTCAAGGCCCGTTGCCTATAGAATCGAAAATTTCAGGCTATTTGTAAGTAGCCGTTTGGCTTAGGATGCCGTTTGGCCCACAGCCAGAACCTTTATGTCCATCTATCTGGGGCCACTGCCTGTCAGCCATGTGTATGATTGGCCACTGTGGCTTAACAACCTCTTGTTATTTCAGTGGCCGTGGCTGAGAACTCAAAGCCTTAACAAGAAGGGCCTGCGAGCACATTGCAGGATAGCTTAGGATTGGAAGGAATATTAAGGAAGATGCTTCCTGGATTCTGAGACAGCTCCACCTTAGAACAAACCAAGGTTTCTTATTTCAATATAGCGCAGTGAACTGAGACCAGGGATCGGGTGCCTTATGAATTTCTTCTCTAAATAATATGTTAACCCATTGCAGATCTTCACAGGTCTGCAGCTATATTAACGGACCAAGACTTGTTCTGTCTGTCCCCACTAACACTTAAGCTTTTTGAAGCTAGTTAAAAAGGAAAACTAGCTTGGTGTACAAAAATATTAATTGAGGGAAAATGCAAATTACCTTCCAGTTCTATATACACAGAATATCCTAAACATTTCTTAAAACTTGAGATGTTTTCTCCAGCTAACAATATTTTTTCAGGCAATGACACATTAGCCTATTTTCTAATTTGAACAGACTGTTTCCTAATTCGACAAAAAAGTCCCACAAAGCATTCTATTGCAGTTAAATTGATCTGCCTGAGACCAGGTTATATATTAAGTGGAAATATGTGATGGGAGCTCTTGAGTGAATAAAATTAAATGAGATCGGTGGCACTGAGGAAGTACCTATATTCCTCTTGCCCCAGGGCTCAAATAAAATCTGAGGGAATGATTTAGATTGCAGAAGGAGCAAAGTAGAAATAAACAAACACCACACCCCCAAAATAATTGTTACCATCCAATTTGGAACCCTCTGCAGCCATTTTAGAGGAGGAAAAACTCCTGGAAGAGTAGCAAGGATGGACTTCCTGCACAAAATACCTTTGTCCTGAGACTTGCCAAGAGGAAAGGTAGGGCAACAATACCTTCGGGATCAGAAGTAACCCAACGGTGACTGTCACAGTCAAGTGTGAGTGCGCAAAGAACAGCATCAGCATCCAATCAGACTGAAGTCTTGAAGCAAGACTGAACCTGCAAAGAGAATTCAGGCAGGGTTGACAAATGTACCTGCCTCCGCTCTCCCCGCATACACTGAATATCCGGACCTCTGTGACCACCCCGGAGCAGCAGCCTCCCAAATATAAAGATGGTGGTCTCACTCTGCATTGCTCAGCTGAGGACTCAGCATAGGAGCTCACATGCCCTGCCCCTCAATGGGAAGGCCAATGGCAGCTCTGATGTGCACATGGAGCTCAAGTACATGCACTGGCAAAGCCATCCTTGCCACTCCGTTCCCACATGCATCAGAAATCTGCAGGCTTGGCTTCAGTGTGAGAGGGAGAGCTCCCTCTGAAGTCATCGGGCTTAGGAACATTAGAAAGGCCATGACAATACATCCAGGCCTCTATCTCACCCAGCTTTCTGTTCACACAGTGGCCCACATGTAGGACCATGAGTGTCATGGCACCCTCCTGCCATGCTGCCCAGCAACTGGTGCGCACAGGCATGCTCCCTCCATCCCACACCTTGCAGCAACACATGCAATGCAATGTATAAACATGTACTTCCTTCCAACGGTCCAGAAGTCCCCACCCGTGAGCATCCTGGGATGACTTCAAGTTCTAGTGCTAGGAGGGAGAGCGGAAGCACCCACTTTCTGCATAAGATGCATCTGTTTTTTTCCCTAGGCTAGGCTGCTTTTTCAGTCCTAGCCACAGCAATCTTTCCTTATAAGGGAGATGTTCCAGATCCTCAATTATTTCAGTTGCCCCTTTCTTCACCTTTTCTAATTCTACAGCATCCTCCTTGAAATGCCAAGACCAGGGCTATACACAGTATCCCAGCGCGGTTGCAATGGATTTGTATAAGGACAACACGACACTGGCCGTTTTATGTCTGATTCTTTTCCTAATTAGGCCCAGCATGGAGCTTGCCTTCTACACAGCAGCTACACACCAGGTCAGCATTTCCATTGAACCAGCCACCACAGTAGCTCAATCGCATCAACATACACATGGGTTTGGCATCTGTTTGCTCCATTGCGAAAACAAAGCAAAAACCACCCCGGCACCCTAAAATAAAATATGCTTACCATCGGTGGACAACATTATTCTTTACTAGTAAGGAATGGCCTGCAGGAGCTGGGTGCGAGCTGTACGCCCTGATACTTACCCACAATGCTCCAGTGTAGTGGAACTTACATGTGGGGCTGGCCATTTTGAATGGCAACTGCCTAGGCAGCCACTGCTGCTCAGTAAACTCTAGTGCTACAGCTGAGAGGGATGAGCACGTACACCAGGTATCCGCACCAGCAGCCTTTCTGCAGCTTTTGAGCCCTAATAGGTGTTGATGGGATCAGATTTTTAACCAATAATTGCTTCCAGTCTGCAAACGCACCTTTGCATTAAAGTGCACAGCACACTTGTGCATTTGCACTCATGCACATTAGTGCCACGGCACATTTGCATGAATGCAAATTAATGGAAGTGTGCGCTTGCACAAAGGCACATTTGTACCACTGTCTCCCCAGAGTTAAAAAAAAGACTACAAGTAGAATCATGGTGAGAGTCTTGCTGGGTCGGAGCAAATCTGAAAACACCGGTTTGATACAGGATCTGCAGACTGGATTCATAGAAACGTGAACTAGTTTGAATCTACTGTAATTTTCTCCGACATCTCTGCTAGGAGCCCCTCCAGGTCACTTGCCTAATTGTGTGGAATATAGCCGAGATAATGAGCTCAATGTGAACTGCAACAGCCATATAACGTGGCTCGTGAAACGCCGAAGGTACTGTCCGCACTGCATAGCAGAGATAAACGCCCCACAAGAGGAATAAAAATTCAGCTGAAAGAGGAACAGAAACAAAGAAAGTTAGTTTGTGGTTAGTATTTGTGGATTAACAAGATAGGAACACTGACATGAGGGACCCCTTTTCTGTGCACCTGCATGAGAAAGTCAGCAAGCATGTGCTCATATACTTTCAGATAAGTACATCCATCACATATGCCATTTCACCACTTACATAGGCTCCAGTGTTCCCGTGTGGTGTTGCCGTCCTCTCCCCGCTTCAGGGTAGGGTAGAGAGTCAGATGTATGATGCAATGAATGCACAACATTTATTTCTGCTTTATATATAAGGCCAGGAAATATTTGGTTTCATGGGTGGTTCCATCAATAATTTTAAAAATACAGGAAAACTTATTTCCTAGATCTTCTACAGTGCAGGATGATTTCATGGATGAGGATGGGATGATTTCAGTTCTTTGGAAGTAATGCAGACATAATACTCTGCAGCAGCATTTCCACCACAAGGATAAAATTCCTCTATTAAGGAAGGTTTTACAAAGTCGTGCTTTGACATTATGCCAACTGCCTGGTCAAAAGACCTTTTCTTACACTTCCATGGGAAGAACAGCTCTCCGTCTGTGGGCATGGAGAGGAACTGGAGAGCTGCCATTATGAATAAGACACCAAGACAGTCATTTTCATCCAGTTTCCTTTCCTGTCCTAAGATGTCAGTTTTTGAGAAAATTTGTAAGCTTTTGGCTGATCAGCACAAATACGAATGTTACGTACTCAGTTTCATTCTCTACAACAGCTGCTTTTAAAATTAGATGGAATGACGAATAACTATATTAATTACTGGTGGAGAATATCTAATTTGATTCTTTAGTGTGGAATTGTTTTTAGGATCCACTTTTCTCCTGATTTGTGATGACCTTCACTACTAGGGAAAGAAGAATAAATGGCTGGTTGGTTGCTACTACCACTTTAGGAAACTACAAGCCACCCAACCTCTTTTTAAAAATGTCCTTTGCCCTAGAAGGTTGGCAGAAGAGGGACAGATCTTACCTATCAGCACACTTAGTCTTCTGTGCTGGCTGCAGGAGGGATTCCCTTCCCTAAGGAAAGCTCTGAAACTTGCAGACTGGCACAGGAGGGATAGCGCAAACTCCCCTCTTCCACCAATTCAATGTGTTTCCATACTAGCCATGGAGGAAGGTGCTTCACCTGTTCTACAGTCCACACGGTCACCAGGTTGTTGGATGGTGCACAGACCAATCCCTCCTTTTCTGCCCACCTGTTCACTCATCCACATGGAATTTCTGGTCACCTAGAGTGACCAGGTGAAGGGTGAAATGGAAGGCTGATATCGATACTGAGTTTCAGTTATTTAAAAAGCATGAATAGCCCACTTTTCTGTGGCAGAAAACATCCATAAAGGTTCTCTAGAAGCAAAGCCATTTAGAACAATCAGCGTGATGAAATAAAAAACAAAAGCAAACAGAAGGAGCAAAAAATTCCCAAAAGCAAAAGCATGGTGGAAGAAAGCAAATCCTATCCTCTAAACGCCTTCTGAAGCATGGCACTCTGGCAGACAACCAAAAGGAAAGGGGCTAGACTCAGGGAAGAGCCAGCGCTTGGATGCAATAGTGGACGATCCCACACCACAAAGGCATGAACATGCTGACCAAACATGCACACCCTGGTTTGGCTCTGGAGCAAGAGCGGGTGGCTGCTCTGAAAGACCAAACAGAGTGCTGTGTGGTGTGACAACTGCCCCTCCTCAGCATCTAATGCAGTTGCATCTTACAGTCTAACAATGTCATCTGAATCTTCTCTGCTCAGAAATCAACGTAACTACTAAAAAGTCTTAAGACTGCAGGCTAACCTGTTTCTTGTACTATGGATTTATAAGCAATAGTCAGTTTATCCCATTCATTTAAGAAGTCAGCAAGTCTGTTCTTAGGGGAAAACTTCAGCTGAATTGAATAACACACACACCTCCAAAGTCTACGCCTGATTTTTTAAAAAATGAACTTATAACTTGACACTTGGTGCCCATGGTCTACCTGATGAGGCCTCCTGTTGTACAAGATTTCAAACCACAATCCAATAAAAATTCCAAAAGTAAGTTAAAACATACTGAAAATGGAGACATTCGTATTTTTATTCTAAGGTATGTCTCAGCCGATATTTCCTTCCATATTTCTTTCTAATTCTGGTGAAAACTACTGATATACATTATTCAGGTCTGTTTATTTATTAAATACCTTTTTAATATACCACCCAATAGCCCAAAGGCTCCAGGTGTTTAACAAGATCAATGACATTAAAAAAAGCCCACAATGCGACAAAACAGTAAAATTGATAAAATCACTAAAACAACCCACAGCAAACAAGGCCGCCATCACTGTATTAAGTTAACAGCACTGGCACAGAAAAGGAATCCATAGTAAAACAATCCAACAAATCCAGTGGCCAAAAGATGTGCTTTTCATTGGTTTGGTGAGGTTCTGAGCATTGATTGAAAAGTTATTAAAGTTGTTCTACCCCACGAAAGCCTCTGAGAGCAAAGCCCTGGCAAAGTTATGTCTGGGTGCTCTGTTTTACTCTAGAGCTAGAATGCAGTACTCCAAGGTTTTCCAAGGGCTTCCATGTGCAAGGCCCATTCCCTTCGTGCCTGAAGATGACCACACATGGTGAGACTACATGTTACCACACAGATTGAAACTACACAGATTGGGAAGGGGGATTTTATTGGCACCTGCCAACTCTACTATTGTATGAATCTATGAACGCTCCCTGCCCAAGACTTGAGATTGTAACCAATACAAAGCCTCTTGAATAAGGAAGAAAGTACAAACTAGATGCAACTGCAAAGAAACATGCAGTTTGACCCTCTGAGAATTTAGGAGGGGTGGGATTCTAACATAGAGCTGGGAGGAGCAGAAAGAACAGGGCTTCACGACGCTTTTCTGAAAATGGAAAGAGAGCACAAGGGCCTTTTACAAAAGCCAGGGAAAATCAATGATTGTAAAAAGTAACCCTCTGGCAGTTTAAGACCAGAGCTAAGCCTATCTCACGCTGGGTCAAGCTCCACAAAGCCAGGGCACCGGAAACTTAATGGGTGTGGCCCATGATCACAGATGATATTGTGCAATCTAGCAAGTTGTGCTTGCTTACACTTTGCCCTCCGTGCACTCACACTTTTCTTTAGTCAGCAGAGATGACTTACATTGTCCTGGTCTATCTCACGAAACATCTCCCCTTAGTGCTAGAGCAGGGCTCCTTTTGACTGTTTAACGCATCGTACCAGCTACTGAGAAGAGCAACAAACAGGAGTGAGTCCAGGTGGGCAATACAGGGCCAGTACAATGTGGGGACCTTTGCCGGTCCCAGGCAATCCCTCCTCCCCAGTGGGATTTGAGCTTCACCAAGACTAAGAAAAAACATGGATGCCTGAGGAGTAAGTTGTAAGCAGGCAAAATTCGTGACACTGTAAGGTAACAGCGTTCCGTGCACTTCAGTGTTTAGTCATGCCGGCCACATGGCCATGGAGACTGTCTGGGGACAAACACTGGCTCCCTCGGCTAGGAAACGGAGATGAGCACCGCCCCCTAGAGTCAGGCATGACTGGACTTCAACACCAAGGGGAAACCTTTACCTTTTTACTGTGTCATCACCGATTGTGGGATATGCCAGGCCTGCTAAAGCATCAGCCTTCACTTCCAATTTGTGAATCTTGAGCCAACATGAGATATACCCTTAACCCTGACCTCAAACCGTAAGATTTTTGGCAATAGTGGTTTTTCATCTCAATTGTGTTAAAAACGTATTTTCTCCTGCATTGGCCATATCACTCTGTTCTTATGTGATTGAGCTGGGTGACCCAAATATGTAGCATTTTGGAAGGAATGGAGACTCTTGGCAGTAATCAGTCTTTAAGTCTGAAAGCTGCAGGCAGAAATCCCCAAAGAAGCCTTTAAGCTGTGATCCCAACATACTTACAGGCTGATCCTTGGAATTATTGGTCCAGTAAATAAAAGTACAGCACAAGGATGGCTTGCCAGCATATCGCTGTGGCATGTGTGCTTGCGTTGCAGACCAACCTGGGATGCTGGCCCAGAACAACACCTGTCAATGCCAACATGAGATGCAGGTGCACAGAACCATTGTGTGGCATAATGGAAGGTGGGCAGGAGATACAGCCTGACTTGTTTACAAGAAGACTGAGCAAACAACCAAGGTCTTTTCTTCATCTGCTAGAAAAGAGGTGGTGAACCTCTTTCACTCCAAGGGCCAGATTCAATTTCACAGGAGCCATCCAATGACGGATGGGCTAAAGGCAAAGGGGACGAGGCAAAGGTTAACATGGTGGGGCCAAAAACACAAAGCACATTCACTTATTTTAGCTGAATGTGCCTACTGCCAGTTACTCACCCTTCAGAGGGGCATTTCAATATCTAGAATAGGAAAGAAAACTGTACAGAAGCTGGGAAACCACCAAGCCACTGGCAGTTGGGGAAAGGGGGGACTCACAGGGAACACCAGAGGGCCTGAATCAGATGGCAATATGTTATAAGATGACTGCAGTCACTAAGCAATAATTTTGCAGACCTATCTTTATAACAACAGCTTGCAAAGGGGGATTGGATAAGGTCCCACTCTGCTTCCTGTTAACAGGCTCTTGCTTCACTGAAAAAATACATTTGATTCATAGAATGCTGTTCAACAATTAGTTTACAACTGAAAATCCAGATACACTTTTTCCATACGAAAAATTCTTGCTAAAATTTAGGGGGGGGGTGGAGGGGGTGATGGTAGGACCCACATGCTGATCACCCTGCTCTGTGTCTTGCATGATTTCAGTTCCATAGTTCTACTCTCTGTGAGACCAAGTGTGTGTATCGTGTACGCACTACTATGGGGAAATGAAATGAGACAAAATTGTAGATCAACACCATCATTATTACTACATGACATTTATGCCCCACCTTTCTCCTGCTTCCATGAAACCCAAGATACCCTAAAAGGCTCCCCACCTCTCCATTCCATCCTCA